AAAAAAAAAAAAAAAAAAGAGGCGTCATAGACAGAAAGACAGCCGAACTTACAATAATAGCCTCCTTGTTGCCTCTCTCAGGCTATCGTTGCGAAGTAGCAACGGGATCAGGAGCATCTGCAGCTGTGCCGGACGGTGGACCATCACGGGCGTAACCACCGCACAGGCAGCTAGCCGGAGCAAGCCCGGACGACGTACTGCAGCAGGAACCAGCATGGGTGTGCACTGTGCAGCGAATAACCACGACGACGAAGAGGTGTCCGTCTCCATGGCCACGTTTTCTTCCTCATTGTCGTCGTCGTCTTCTCCGCCAAGGTTCGCCCCCTCCCTGTCCCGTCTCGCTTCTTCTCCATTTTACTCTCTTATTGTTCGTGTAAATCGTGCTAGATAAAATGCTGGTGTGCCTACAGTCTACAGCTAGCCCAATCCGTTTATGCCTCCCAAGTACAGGCACTGAAATATTTTTTTGAGCTCAACAGTAGGAGTACGTGTCGATGCCTCGATGGGCATGTAAACTGACCTCATCAGTCTCTTGATCACTTAAACCATATGCGTATCTTAATATAAGTGGGCTAGGATTAATAATTCATTATATACAATATCGCGCTATTGCGGTCCCTACAAAGAATTATGGAGCGTTATAGCGGTCTGCTAACTCAAATAGTGGCCGCTAAGTTCTAACTTGCTAAATCTAATCCACTACCGCTATTGCAGCCACTACGACCGCTATTTAGTACCTTGCACGATCATTCCTAGATGGATCTTGTTATTTTTGTTGATCGTTGCATCAATTTTGTCATTTAGTTTTTTTTACTAGTATAAGACTTCTATCCTTCATTATTTAGCACCCCCTCCCCCAATTATAGTTGGGCAACGGGCCGGTCCGGCCCGGCATGGCACGGGCCCGTGCCAGGCAGAGCACAGCAGGGCCCGACGTGCCACCAGGGCTTGCCTCCCTGGGCTCCAGGCACAGCCCTATGGGCTGTTTTCAGTGCCGGGCTGGCCTGGAAAGCCCCATCTTTTTAGCAGGCCGGGCCGGTCGGAGGCCCACCAAATGCCAGAAGCGAGCCAGAGAGAGGGGGGAAGGGGACCCAGCTATAACCAAGTACAGCGACATGTTTCCACATCCACCTACAGGTAAACTACTTCCTTTGTTGCAATTGCAGATTGTAGTTGTCACTGGTACAGAGACGGGCTTTACTCCCGGTGGGGAACCCCCTCTAGTCCCGGTTCCCCACCCGGGAGCAAGCATCCGGGATTAAAGGGGGTCCTTTAGTCCCGGGTCAGGAACCGGGACTAAAGGGGGTCCTTTAGTCCCGGTGGGTAACACCAATCGGGACTAAAGGTGCCTCCTGACATGCCACGAGGCCGACACTCTTTAGTCCCGATTGGTAACCCCAACCGGGACTAAAGGTTTTTTTTTCTTTTTTTGTTTCTATTTCTATTTTCCTTTTTTTCTATTTTCACGCTGCTACCAGGTTTTTTTATTTCTATTTCTATTTTCCTTTTTTTCCTATTTTTAATTGATGATTCGTTTTGGTTTTTGAATACGCATTCTACGCTGCTAGAATATACGTACGTTTATAATGTTCAACATTTTATATAAACTATAGTACGAAGGACCTTTAGTCAAGGATCAGCGGTACAATCCTGTTCAAGTTCGTGCTGCTTGGTTCGAGAGCTGAGCTTTTAAGTTAGCTTTCACTCTTCTGAGCAAGCGAGGTGGTGCTAATAGGTGGGGCGCCGAGCAATTCCAGCATATTATGTCTTGGGCGGCCCATCGAGGCTTCTTCATGAACGCCGGGACTAAAGACCTTTAGTCCCGGTGATAATACCAGCCGGGACTAAAGGTACTAAAGGTATACCTTTAGTCCCGGCTCGTAATACCAGCCAGCCGGGACTAAAGGTCTTCGTTTTCAGTGTCAACAATAAATGCAAGCAGGTAAATGCAAGCCGGGACTAAAGCTCGTAAATGCAAGCAGGTAAATGCAAGCCGGGACTAAATCTCGTAAATGCAAGCAGGTACAAGTAAAGCACCGGGACTAAAAGTTCAGTGCTGGTCATCAGCTCGTAAATGCAAGCAGGTACAAGTAAAGCACCGGGACTAAAAGTTCAGTGCTGGTCATCAGCTCATAAAGCACGGCAATAAATGCACTAAAACTTAGAGGACTTTTAATCCCGATTGGTGGCTCCAACCGGGAGTAAAGGTCCACCTTTAGTCCCGGTTGGTGTCTCCAACCGGGACTAAAGGTCCCCGCCATCGCAAGCCGAGCGCAGAGTCGTTAAGCGGGACCTTTAGTCCCGGTTGGAGACACCAACCGGGACTAAAGGTTTCTCTAGTCCCGGGCGCAAAAAATACCGGGACTAAAGCCAAATTTCGAAGTGGATCAAAAGTCGTTTCTCTACTAGTGTGTAGTAGTTGAAACTTACAAAACTGTTCCGTTGTGTAGGGAAATTTTACTTTGTGGACTCTAGATACCCGAACCGTCCGGGTTATTTTGCACCCTATAAGGGAACGAATTACCATCTTCCGGAGTATCGAGAAGGCCTAGAGCCACAAGGTAAAAAAGAGATCTTCAACTTCGCACATTCATCTCTTAGAAATGTCATCGAGAGATCATTTGGCGTTTTGAATATGAAGTGGAGGATTTTGTTGCATATGCCGAGTTATGCGCCTGATAAGCAAAGTCAAATAATCGTAGCTTGCATGGCACTACATAACTTTATTCGAGCGAGTGGAATAGTAGATAGGGACTTTGATCGTTGTGATCGTGATGAGAACTATATTCCACATGAGACATCGACCTCACAACCACGTGCTCGTTAGGCGCCGAAAAGGGACGAGTCTGCGTACATGAATGCTTTCCGTGACCAAATAGCCATTGGTTTGTTAAATAGATCATGACAATTTATACTGTGTACTTGAATTGTAACGTGTGTGATTGATTTGTATAGTTGAGAACAATTGAATTGTGTACTTGAACTATTGAATAATTGTGCAATAAAATGTATTTTTTTATTGTTTGGAAACGAACGAGCAACACCCGCGTGCGGTAGCCCAGCGAGCAGCAGCACCGACGTGCAGTAGCCCAGCGAGCAGCAGCGAGAAGCCCAGCACGCAGCATGTATGGCTGTGCATGGCTCACAATTAATGAACCAAATCAGCCATTAAATAAGAGTAAATCAGTCTTTTTTGATACGGTGCTAAACATTTATCATGAATCTAAACACCTCATGCTAAAGTTTAAATGGCTAAAATTTAGCAGCAAAAGATTAGAAACAAATCTTTTGTCATGGCAAATGCATCTAAACATGGTCTGAGCATGCACAGAGCAGTCAACAGCACGCCTGCTGTATCCAAAGATGAGATGGATTAAACTCGCCCACCAACTCTCACGCCGAGTACTGTATATTCAATTCAATGCCCAAATCGACCTCCACCAGCTCCACGTCCAGCCATGGATGCATGGCTGTCCACTGGGATCCTGAGCTCACCACCTGCGTGCCTCACCTGACGCCACCAGCCAACCTGTTTGTCTTTGTCCTGTCTGCTTGCATTGCTTATTACGAACGAATCCCTGCCACAAAAACATTAGCTTGCTCATCAGTCAGCAACTCCATCAGCATAGTATGTGATCGACACGCGTACTGAATGCTGAGATATAAAGAATAAACAGTCTGAACAGGGCAACTGAAAATGGTATAAGGTGCTGTTTAGATCCGGGGCGTAAAGTTGTAGGCGTCACATTGGATGTTACATGGGGTGTTTGGATACTAATAAAAAACAAATTATAGAATCTATCAGTAAACCGCGAGACGAATTTATTAAGCCTAATTAATCTGTCATTAGCACATGTGTGTACTGTAGCAATTTGTTGTCAAATCATGAACTAATTAGGCTTAAAAGATTCGTCTCACAAAGTAGTCGTAATATGTGCAATTAGTTATTTTTTAGTCTATATTTAATACTCTATGCATATGTCAAACATTCGATGTGATAGGGTGTAAAGTTTTGATGAGGGAACTAAACAAGGGCTAAATTTAAGTTCATTCAAGGTGTTGACAGTGGACATACTTTCTCCGTTCCAAAATATCTGTCGTTTTTGCTTTCTGATAAACAACTTTGACAAAGTATATATTAAAAATATTAATATTTATGGTACATAATTAGTATCATTGGAAAGATATTTGAATCTAGTTTTTTATAACAAATTTATTTGGAGATACAAATATTACACGTATTTTCTACAAATCAAGTCAAACTTACGGTACGAAAATAAAAAACGACAAATAATTTGGGACGGAGGGAGTATCGCCCTGTTCGTTTAGGCTTGTCTGGCTTGTTTCCAGCCAACTAACAGTATTTCTCTCTTACACTAAATCAGTCAACAGTATTTTCAACCATGACTTATAAGCCAAACACGATCCAGCGAAGAGGCTGTATATGGCTGCACGCTCCTGGAGTAGCTTGCATATCACCTGCTCGATCATTTATGAGTTGCAATCTGTGAAGCAAAACTCAAATATATATGCTTGATGAACATTTGGTGAAATCACTGTCTAGCTAGTAAACATTTTGGTATAGGTCTTATTTAGATTGGGGTTAGGAATTAGTATTTGGCACTGTAGCGCTTTCGTTTGTATTTGACAATTATTGTCTAATCATGGTCTAACTAGACTCAAAAGATTCATCTCGTAATTTACAATCAAACTGTGTAATTAGTTATTTTTTTATCTACATTTAATACTCCATGCATGTGTCCAAAAATTTAATGTAATGGAGAGAGAGTGAAAAAACTTGCAATCTAAACAAGACCTTGTATCAACCACCAGCAGAATAGCAGATAGCGCTACTTGATCGTTTATTTGGCCGAAAACTTTCAATCCTCGCTTTCTTGTTTCTTGGTCGCCCTAAGACGAGTAGACGATGTCGACGGCGAAGTGGAGGATGCTGAGGAGGAGGAACGAGGAGTAGCGTGGATGATCCCTCCGCCGCCGCCTCACCCTTCCTTGGGACTACCTGGCTGCGCAGGCTTATTCCCCTGTGGCTTCGCCATGTGGCAGCGTTGCCTCGACAGGGCGCCGGAGCGGCCTTTTCTTCCCGCCGCCGCAGCCGCCCGTAGCGCCTCACTATCCTTAGGGGCCGGCGGGGAAAGCACGCCGATGCCGGTGCCGGTGCTGCCGTCCTGCTGCGCGCCTGAGGCCTTCTCGCCGCCACACGCAGCCGCCTCTAGTTCTCCGTTTCCCTTTTCCTCACGGGGAGAAGTAGCACCAGGAGCGGCGGCAATGGGTGCTTGCGAATACTGCTCACAGCTGGAGCTGCTGGCGGAGGAAGCAGCAGCAGCTCTCGCCCAAGAGCGGTGCGACTGCTGTAGGACCATCAGGAAGTAGCCGCGCGCCAGCGCCCAGGACGGCGGCGCAAGTGCCAAACGAAGAGGCATGGTAAGCTGGCATGGCAGGAGGAGGACGCGGGCGGAGGTCATGGCTGCGCCGCGCTGCAGCTAGCTAGTATCTATGGACCAGTGGCGGAGGCAGGATGAGAACAAAGGGGGCTAAATAATAAAGATTTAGGGCTAGGACTAGAAATTAATGATGATTTGAGGCTAAGTAAACGTGATCTAATGAAGAAAATAGGCTCACTATGGGTTGTAGCTCCGGCATGCACCAACTGCAGGACCCCACCATAGATGATAGATGGATGGTTTGGTGAGCTCATTGATGAGCCGGTTGATGGTTTTTGTGGCGGATAAGCCGGCTGATGTTGTTTTGTTATAAGAGAAAAATATTGTAACATGGCTGATAAGTCGGGCTGATAATAAAGTTCAAGCGAATAGGGCGTACATGGCTTTTTTCGGTACTGCTAGCCTCCGAACATCCAGACGCCTGTGGCTGTAGTCTATTTTTCGCGTCCATGCATGGACCCATGCTGGCCGGATGTTGCTTACCCGCGCCTGCGCCTCGCGGCCACGCCGGGCCGCGTCGCCGAACGTCGCCCACGCCACGCGCCCTTGCGGGTGAAAGCTCTAGTTTGGTTTTCGTAAATTGATGAAACCCTAAGTGCTAACCTAGTTCATCAAGTGATCATGAGATAGGTAGCACACTTCAAGTAGAGAAGCAAATGAAGATCATAACATGACAATGGTGATAGCATGGAGATGATCAAGGGCTTAAACTTGAAGAGAAGAAAGAGAAAAACAAAAAGCTCAAGGCAAAGGTATAACTTGTAGGAGCTATTTTATTTTGGTGATCAAGACACTTAGAGAGTGTGATCACATTTAGGTTTGATAGCCGTACTATTAAGAGGGGTGAAACTCGTATCGGAATGCGGTTATCAAAGTGCCACTAGATGCTCTAACTCATTGCATATGCATTTAGGATCTAGTGGAGTGCTAACACCCTTGATAATATTTGTGTAAATATGCTACCACATGTGCACAAGGTGTTTGTAGGGTTGAGATGAGTTCGGAAAAATAAAATGTCTATTTTCTATTGCGCCGGATGCAAAATTCTTGGTGGTTGGCACACTTGAGCAAGGGTGAAGAAGTAAGAGTTGAAATGGAGTTGATCGAAATGATGTTGGCGTCGGTCTACTGACCGGACGCTGGGTCACTCAGCGACCGGACGCTGAAAGGCTGCGTCCGGTCGAGCTGTCAGACAGCACAGTGGCTAAGGTTGAGAACCGGACGCTGGTCTGTGTCCGGTCAAGGTGGACCGGACGCGTCCGGTCGAAAAAACATGCCTCGGGGAGCTTACTGGAAACGACCGGACGCTGGGGCTTCAGCGTCCGGTCAGTTTTACCGGAGCGTCCGGTCAGCTTCGCAGCCGTTGAAATCTGACGAACAGCGTTTGAAGCTGGTGACGCGTGGCATCCATCGGGCGACCGGACTCTGAGGGCCAGCGTCCGGTCAGTTTGACCGGAGCGTCCGGTCAGAGCGCGTTTTGCCCAGTGAAGGGGTATAACGGCTCTATTTGATTGGGGCTCTATTTATAGCCCCATGGCCGGCTCAAGGGAGCTTGCTTGCATATTTTCATTGACATAGCTACCTTGTGAGCCTAGCTAAAGTTCTCCCATTCATTTCCATCATAGATTAAACATCTTTGTGAGATTGGGAGAGAATCCAAGTGCATTACTTGAGTGGTTGCATCTAGAGGCACTTGGTGATTGTGTTTCGCTGTGGATTTCGCTTGTTACTCTTGGTGGTTGCTGCCACCTAGACGGCTTGGAGCAGCAAGGATCGTTGAGTGGAGGAGGTGATTGTCTCCGACTCCGATCGTGGTGATTGTGAGGGGTTCTTGACCTTTCCCCGGCGGAGCGCTAAAAGGTACTCTAGTAAATTGCTTGTGGCTTGTGTGATCCTCATCTTGTGTTGGTTGTGCGGCACCCTATTGAGGGTTTGGCGAGTGATGCCAATCAGCGCGTGAACCTCCAAGTGAGTGAATCGCCACAACGAGGACTAGCTTGCCGGCAAGCAAGTGAACCTCGGTAAAAATCATTGTGTTCATCATTGATTCCGAGGTGATTGGTCATCATTGTTATTCATCTTCGTGATTGATTGGTTCATTCATCTACACGGCGGTATAACCCTCTTGATCACTCTCTTTACTTTACTGCAAACTAGTTGACAAGCTCTTTAGTGTAGCTAGTTGTGAGAGCTTGCATGCTTGGTTGGTGTGGCTCTTTAGTTAGCCTTTGAGAGCACACTAACATAGGGTAGTGTCATTGCTCTTGTGTGAATTGACACTATCTAAACTAGAATTGTGGTAGGTGGCTTGCATTTTTGAGTAGGCTAGCGCAACACTCGCTTCGTCTCATAATTGTCTAACCATTTGGTTAAGTGTTGTTGTAGAAATTTTTAGTAGGCTATTCACCCCCCCTCTAGCCATTAGGACCTTTCAGCGGGGACTGCTCGTGCCCCTTTCCCTTCCCATGCGTATCATATGTGCAACATCCGGTCTACTTTTAAACATTCAGATGCAACACTTGCAACATATAAAAAAGAAAGATAAAACACTTGAAACATGGGACTGAAGCCCTGTTCGCTTTGTTAAAAAGTCAGGCTGAAAAGTACTGTTCGCTGCTTTCTTGTAAGAGAAAAATATTGTTCATTCGCTGAAAAAGTACGGCTGGTAAGCCAAGCGAACATGGCCTGAAACACTTGCAAAAATACTTGAAAATTATTGCAAATATTCACAGCATTCAGATAAAATACTTGGAACATATGTGTGAAAACATATGCAACATCCAAATAAACACGCTTACAACATATGTCTAAAACAACAGATAAAACATTAGGAAGAGAACGTTACAACAAACATGTACAACCATTGCAACATATGAAACATCCCGATCTACTTTTGCAACATACATATGAAATGATTGCAACATACCTCTAAACATCGAAAACACTTGAATAAACGCTTGCAACATATGCTTTCAAGCGCAACATCTACTTGCTGCTTGGACGAAATAGAGGCTCGTCGGCATGGAGCTTGACGCCAGCGCGGAGCCCAGGCGAGCGGCTGCGCGGCTCCGTCAAGTTGTTGCGCAGGTACGGTCCCTGTGACGAGGCGCCCCCGCAGTAGAGGAGGCAGCGCTGCTCGCAGCGAGTGGCCTTGCGCTAGAGAAGGTGAGCGACGGGTAAGCAGCACGGTGGAGTTGGATGCGGAGGTAGGATGGCACGGTGGATAAGGCCGCTATGAGCGTATACGAGCAGTCGCGTTACGGAGAGGAGCAGCAGCGTGGGAGAGAAGCATGTTTGGCGGAGACTGTTGGGCTGTTGATAGGCTGCGGACACGAAGGAAACAGGTATGTCGGACACCCGCGCAAGCGAATTACCGTTTCTTGTGTGTGTGTGTGTGGTGGGTGGGGGGGGGGGGGGTGGGGGTTTGGTTTGAGTCGATGGGAGAGAGAAAAGGGAGAACGTACGGTGACATGTCATACAACGCGTCAACGATAGAGAAATGTTAACTCCGTGTGTGTAATCTGGAAAATTAGTCTTGCTACTGTCTCTTCTTTGAAACGATCGAAATTTGAAACGGTTGCGCGTACTGTATGTAGAGGTTACAACGTACGGTCCAGTCAATCTGATCTGATAAACAGACGACAACCATCTGGCATGTACGGAGCAGGGCCACTTTAAAAAAAACAAGGGATATGTGGATGCTGGGATGGGATTTGCCGCCCGCCGGGCCGGGGTCCTCCACCCTCGTGATCTCACTAGAATCTCGTCTCGTCTCGTCTCGTCTCGTGTGATCCTCGCTTCCTCTCAGTCTACTTCCCCTTGTCCCTTAAACTATCTCATTTCCTAAGTAATAGCAGTATGTTCGGGAAAGTTTGTAAAATTAAACCAGGCAAAGTTTTACTTCTTTTAAAAAAGCTTGTGGGCATGTTCCTCAATGAATTTTTATTTGTTTTCAATAACTTGTGCCATGCATTTTTCATCCGAGGTTCTAGGCGGCAATGCAATTTGCCTAGTGTCAACTTTCTGCTTATGTCATGTGTCGTCAGCACGTGAATAATGTGCGCGTCTGTACTCTGTGTCTCTGTACATGTGGGAATGGGCAACTTTTGATGGGGTCGTGTGGTAGACGACATTTACCATTATCACTTATTACCTGTATCTGTGTGGCTTCCTTGTATGACCTTTTTTCTAAACTTATCTATCAAGCCCAAAAATGAATTTCGCTTACCTATATTATGTTGTACAAAAATAATATATTTTTTTAATTTTATGCAATTATGAACACTTTAAACCATGTGTAATATTACTCCAAATAAAAAAACAGACAAACTAAACTCTGCACTTTAATCTTTTTTTACGCCCCTCACTTAACACCGTTAAGTGGCTGAAATAGACGAAAGGCTATATAGGTATGCGAAATTCGTTTTCGGACCTAATAGGTAAGTTCAGGAAAAAAAAATCATATAAGGAAGCCATAGTATTTTTGAGGCCACACAAGTAATTTTCTCAATAACAATGGGTGTAACTGTGTAAGAGTAATACAAGGTGCACAACAAGTAAACGCCGCCAATGCAAAGTAAAATTGGCCGGCGCCGGCTGGCTAGGTCTCCATTGCCAAGCTCAGATGAAACTTCAATATGGAACGGGCTGGCCCATAACAGACTATACATGTATGTCAACTATCTCCAAAATGCCCTTGGCCAAAAAAAAGAGGGGGGGAATAAAAACTAAAGTCATTTAGGGTTTGTTTGGTTCACGACCTCACATGCAGCTTGGCAGTTAGACGCGATCCAGGCCGCCGCCCGGTGACCAAATCCGATGCCTTTGTTGTTGCCTAATAGGAAAACCTGCCTAAACGCAGAACCAACCACACCCTTAAAGCTTTAAATCTTCAATAACCCACACGACGGTTCTCTAAAAAGACGAACTGCTAGTCTCAGAACAACGTAACATGTTGAGATTTCTGGAATTATGTTTATAATTTACAATTGTAGTTCATAGAACATTATTACTTTAGTCGTGGTATCCAAAGATCTAAGAAGCCAAGTGGTCGAGGTTTAAACTTCTCAAATTGTGGATACCCAACAAGCCTCCTAGCTCCTGGACTATAGTGATACTCTTTATTATTCCAAAAGTATGTCGAGCCATCTGATAATTAATTACCTCAATAGCCCATTCTAGAAATTTTATGATGAACACTCATGCATGGCTTTTAATTTACATATTACAAAACCAAATGCTCAACGTGCATGATATATATAGTAACTATTACTAAAAATTTTGGTTCGATTCACAGTCCATCACTCTGATAAGGTTTAGACAATTTAGTCTGATCTTCCAAGTCTATATACCTATTATTAAAGAACCAAAATTTCAGTTTATTTCTTTCGTCCACCTCTCCTTTAACTAACTCCATAACGTGGAAACTGTCTCTATTAGTCTCTCTATAATTCTCCCATTTTACATGATATATGTATGGCTTAGACACCCGAATAGCTACGGATCATAATGGAATAGATCTCTTTGATCCTGAGTAAGATGAATAGGAATAATACTTTAAATAGAAGTAGAAAAAATAGAAATTAGATAAAAATAACTCTAATATTAAATCATAACGAGTTTGGATCCTTTTTCTATTTGTTTATCCTGTAAATATTAAATTATAGAGTCCTTTTTGTCTTAAGTTCGTTTTTTTAAAGGTTAAGTTTGTTTCTTTGAACTTCCATGACCAGCCAATTGGCCGTTTTTTTGTCCGACTCACTTAGTTTTTGTTTCATGTTAGTTTTGTTTTCTTTATTGATGGTTTTTCTTTTTTTACCCCGAGTCAGCTCCGACCCATTAGCTTTGTCCATTTCTTACATTACAATTTTGTTTTTGACGTTTTTTATCTTTTTTATCACGTTTGATAGGATCTAGATGGCTAGAGGGGGTAAATAGCCTATAAAAATTACTCCAACAAATTTACAAAACACTAGAGCAAGGTTGATTAGTAATTAACAAAGCTTAATGCCACTACTTGCTTTAGCTCTAATCCACCACAAGCAAGCCTCATACATAAACACAAGCCTAGTTGCTATGTCTCTAAATTGATTTCACACAAATATAAACCTTAGGCAATGGCTAGAGAGCTAATTACACTAGTTACTTCTACTCTAGCTAGCACACACAAACTATCACACTAACAAGTAAATCTATGAAATTAGTGATAGAGCTTTCCGAACCGAAATGGGGCAAGAGACAATATGATCACAATATGAAGACCAAGATTTATCCCCGTGATTCGTTACTTGTCGACAACCTACGTCCATGATATGGCGAGTCACAACTTGATGATTCGCGCGCTAATTGGCCTCAAATGCCAAGCCCACTACCGGGCACCGCTAGAACCACTCAAGAGGGCACTCCAACTAGCCACGATTCAACTAGAGGCGCCTTTCGTGAATCTCCCACGGGGAATAGGCACAAGAGCCCCTCACAATCAATTGGTCGGAGTCGGCTACAATCACCAAAGTAGCTCAACGATCCTCCGCTACCCCAAATTGTCTAGGTGGCGGCAACCACCTAGAGGAAGAAGAAATCTCGTAGCGAACACGATCACAAGTGCCACCAGATGCTCAAACTCTATGCAAATACACGTTGGATCACTCCCAATCTCACTTAGATGATGCACAGCTCTAGGGGTGTTACACAACTGAAATTGGCCAAGAGAGTCGCCTACAAGCCGGCCAAGCCACTTAAATAGAGCCCCAAGGCTCCACTAGCCATTGGCCCTACAAACCGCCCGACGGCTCGGTCCGACGCTCCCTCGAGCCGCCACGTGTCCTGGCCGTTTGAAGAGAGCCGTTGGCGCTCAAATGGCTAGTTGTGCGCGTTCGAGGCACGCCGTACGACGATCGTTGGACCATTGCGTCTGCTCGGTCCAACGGCGACCAGAGAGGTCCGACACTGGCAGTTGGACCAAGTCCGAGGGTTTGACGCCCCTGTTCCTTGTGCACGCTCTCAACTAGCCATGATGAACAGTAACATCGTTTGGTTCGACGCCTACGCATGGCCCCCGTTCGCTTGTCTGAAAAAAGAAGCCAAAACACTGTTCCGACTGATTTGTTGTGAGAGAAAAACATTGTTCCCGCTAAAAAAAAGAAGTCGAACAAGCCGGATTTTTAGACAAGCGAACGGGGCCATGGTAGGGTCCGACGCTCACGCCGCGTGCTGCCTTCACTAAGCCGTTAGGGTCCGATGCTTCGGTTGACAGGATCTGACGCCCCTGTCGTCACTCCTTTACGCGCAACCCTTCAACCCTTGAGTCTATGTGCTAGCTCCAAGTGTTTCCAACATGAGTTGGCATTTTCTGTAGTGGTGAGAGCTGTCTCACTGAGTCACCAGATCGTGGATTCGAAGCAGCCTTAGGGAAGGCTTGCATCGGTTTTTCCCTTCCCTAGACCCCCCTCATGTGGGAGCCTCCGACACTGGGTTTGTCCTTTTTTTTTTTAGCTCACTAGGTCCTAATGCACATGCATAAAGTCAATTCACCTAGTGGCACTTAGATAACCGCATTTCACTTCAAGTTTTCCCTCTTTATAGTAAACCCGATCACACACTCTATTCTGTGTTGACCGGCAAAACAAACACCCTATCTTATACCTTTGCCTTGAGCACTCAAGGTTTTGTTTTTCTCTTTTTTCTTTTCTAAATTGAGCACTTTCATCTCACTTGTGACCATCACCATCTTTCACCATGGTTGCCTTCCTTTGCTCGACTTGGATGTGGACTTAACCTAGTTCATATACAACACTAGATACGAGGTTAGTCCACTAATTGTCTCAATTACCAAAACCAAACATAGACCTTCCAACGTTCCAATAAATAAATATCAAAAACAAAGAATAAAAAAGGCCTTTTGAACCTTTAATTTTTTCTAAAAATAAAAAATTCATCATCAAGTTATTGACGTAATTGTTTGGAAGGGGAATCAAACTATATTCTCATTTTCCGAAACAATAGACCTCTCTTATTACCCCTATTTACATCTGCCAGCTAAACATCCTACTACAGATGGCCAAAATTTTCAGCGAGCAGTGCTGCAAGCTTAATATTAGTGATAGAGATACAATTAAGGTGACAGCTATACTTTTTCTATCTCCTGAAGTGAATATTGATGACAGTTGGCTGCATGTAAGTCTGTTGAATTGAAAGTGCAAGCGGGAAAAATGGGTGAAATAAGAAGGATGAGATTCTTTTCGCTCTGCTGTCAGAAGCACCAGAATCTGAACCTACAGAATTGAAGAAAAAGATGTAATTATGTTACTTAAAAGAAATACTAAAACAAAGTTACATGCCAAAATAAATTTTATACTTTCTTACTTGCGGTGCCCTAAAACTGGTGATATATTCCCCAAATTATGTCACAAAGGTGAGTTAACCTACAGCTAGGTATGGGGTATGGGATTCATGACTGTACTACTGTGATGTTGCTTCATGAATTATTTGACATGATACCGGTTTATGCTTATAAACTGCCACACAAACTAGCTCTAATCTCAGCACATGACCACACCAAAGACCAAGGATTTACCTGGCTTGATCTTAAATTTAACAACATTTGGTTGCCTCACTGATATAAATTTTATTGGATGCTCTGTCCAATGCCTATGCCGATCAATTGCAGAAATCAGCTGGAAAAAAAAGAGAGAGAATGGAACGAAACATTACCACAGATCACATAACAGGGAAAGAAAATTAATATCAGACACTTCCATTTCTGTGGCAAACCAACAAGATCAGTAACAGTCTCATGAAAGTATGAAACTGCATTAAAAACAACAAAACGGTGTAAAATGCAGAGTTTCTTCAATGTTTGTTCCTACTCCCCTCGTGCTGCACTGATTAGAGATTTGCGTGACATTGAAGAAATATATGATTCAAAGTAACAAGGTAACTCTCCCCATGGTTCGGCAAAATGCAAACTGCAGGATATATAGCTACTAAATTTCCAGGAAGTACCACACATACAAACAATCATGCACTAAATGTATACTTAATGCTACCCTGATGAGTCATACCATACAAGATACATTTACATATGACTAGATATTGATGTCAAAAACTTTAGACTAAAACCCTTTTATAGAATGGTGAAGTTATTTTTTCCTACAAGTTCTTCATGTTAAATTTCTATTTTGAATTTCTTACTTCTATTCACATAGGTCAACATAAAGCAAATACTCAACTCTACTATAACAACAGTGTTCAGAAAAAAGTTTTCAGATGAGCATTCAGGAGTCACTAGGTGCATGTAATCTCCAAGATCAGATTGCAAATAAAGCAAGTAAAAACAAGCCTACATGACATACATTTTCAGTTTTTAACTTTGAGCATGGCTGTAGGGCCTAAAATTAAATTGTACAAGTGACAATCAACCAATAAAAAGCCCAAGCTGTGTTATACATTGCTTATAGCTTATGTTTCCAACAAGCCATCGAACATACCTTCTCATCATACCTAAAAAGGGATAGGTCAAAGTATGGTGAAGGACTCTGTGATTGGCAGGTATACGGTAATGACGCCATCATCTTCTTCACAAACTACAAATGTAACACAAGAAGCATTTAGTTATTTACCAGCAGCTCCAGCATAACACCTTCAGAACAACATAAGTAATCACAAAATATCTATAAGACTAAGTGCCTAACAAAATGATTAATAAGAAGCAATAAAAAAAATAAACATAAGTAATCACAAAATATCTATAAGACTAAGTGCCTAACAAAATGAATAATAAGAAACAATAAAAAAAATAAACACCCACGAGCACCAATTGAATACTAACAGATAAATATGAGGTGATTCCAATGGAAGATTAAATTTGCAAGTTCACATCTTGTGAAACCAAGAGCTAAAATGGTCTCTGAAAAAATGTATCATACTCCTTGTTCTATCAATATTACCTGTGAAGAGCTGCTTGCTTTATTTTTAATAGTGCGAAGTTGATCAAGAGCATGAACATCATTGGAGTGCGATGAGATAAATTTTCCATGTGATGAATCTTGTGGATTTGCATGAAAATGGTCATAAAATTGTTCAAACAAAGAATAGAGCTCCTCCGATGAATTCTGTCAACAATTTATAATAGACTCAGAATGACAAAAAATATGATGCAATGCATATCTGATTCCCTGCTAATAAGTACCTCGTAAAGTGAAACAATATCTGTCGTCTCCATGTTGTACACAGCAAAGAATGCTAAATTTTGATCAGTGCTTCGAGAAACCTAGAGATATACAAATCGTATTTGCAGTTAGATTACATCCAGATATGCACTACTGGCAGGATGACGGGAAAAAATGACTTACCCCTCCATCCACACTACCAAACTTGATAAATAGGTGATGGCGATCCAAAAATTGTACCTGTTCAAATATCATATTGTAGGCACCTCTTGCAAATAATCTTTAACAGTGAATCATGTGTTCAGAAAACAACACAGGCCATGACATCAAGGTCCTGCTATTACTAAGAGCTAAGTAGCTATCGAAAATTACTGAACTGCAGTAATTGCCTGTAAGAATTGAAAAACTGTTCAACAAACCAGAAAAGGGGAAGATAGAACTAGGATTGCAGGCGTGGCGGGTTGCGGACGGCCACTTACCCACTAAGCTTGCCGCAAAGTAATTAAGCGGGTTTGTGGCTGTCCACGAGTGCAACTGTGACCTTCGCCATGATCCCGCGGACTCTGTGGCTAATACAAGAAACCCGCAAGGCCCGCAAAGCACACTATAGCTAGATTTGTTGCCGCTACGAGCTCATCTACAGCATCGCAAGGACTCGCACGGACATGGCAGCGAAGGAGCTAATTAACTCGCTGACAGCCGCACCTCCGCCTGTGGAGCTCTGCAGCATCGCAAGGACTCGCACGGACATGGCAGCGAAGGAGCTAACTAATTCGCCGGCAGCCGCACCTCCGCCTGTGGAGCTCAGATCCTCTGATCTAGTGGCTGCTATTGCTATCGCTGGACAGGACGACCTCAGTGGCGGTCCGCCCTGCAGCCAGGTGCTCGTGGACGTCGTCGCCATGCGTGGCCGGCAAGGTTGGCCGTGGTACCCAGGGCCCTGCAGCACCCAGCACTCTACAGAGTCACGACCGGAGAAGATGGACTCCTCGTCCTCCTCCACGCCCACCACCCCGAGCTCCCAGCCGATGGACACCGCCAGCATGTCGCCAGACACGCGGGGCAGTGCTGGAACGAGGAGTGGGTTGTCGCGCTGGATATTCGACAGAGGCAGGACAAAACCATTGTTGCGGGTTCTTGCGGGATGTTGCGGGCTTGCGCTCTTGTCCAATGGGCTTTGCGGAACAGCACACATGATGCCGCAAAAATGTTGCAGCCGGTCCGCATCTGCCGCAAAGCACGATTTTGCGGGGCGGACATGCGGGTTCCGATAAAATCCCACCCCGCCTGCAAGCCTAGATAGAACAAAGTGAAAACAAAATACAGCAAAGAATATTTTATGGGTACCTTCCATATAATAAGATCAACATAGTCTTGGAAGTGAAAATAGAATTTCTTCTTCAGATGCTGGACCCTCTGCCAAAAAAATGAAGATTACTTTAATAAATCGTATTATAATGAAAGAATAAGAAAAAAGAATATTTTCATTTCAACATCCCAAAATAAGCATTAATCTCTACGCGTAAGTAAAGTAGAAACCTTTGCGAATGATAAATAGGGGATAAATTATATAGGATATAGCATTCTTAATTTATTTAAATAATAATTTTAATCCCAGATTATATGCCCATGTCCTACAATGAACATATCGAAACAAATGGTTCAAATAAGAAAACTAACCAAAGTCTGATCTGGAACCTCATTCCGAGTCTTGCGAAATATATATGACAGCAACCGTTGCTTGATGCCAGGAAGAAAAGAACCCCCATAACCAGTCTGCATGCATCAAATCCATTGAAAAGATCATACATATCTCTTTTCCCTCATTTAGATATATCATGTGTAATTTCAGGATAAGAAAATAAACAATCAAATACTCCGAGTACATAGACACATCTGAACAGATGCAGTCATATTTATTTTCTTCAATGACAAATCATATCATACAGTGTCACATAATTTTTTTCCCGGCCAAATTGTACATATAGCACTGTTTTGAAGCTGGTTTGCAAACATACCACTCCTTTATCTCAGATTACTAGTTTAGCACTACTTTGTCACCTCAGTTTACTCTGTCTAGCACTGCACCATCTGATCTTGCATGAACAGCCTTGATCGGTATAGAATCCTCACCATCATTAACTCCGTTATCTCCCCTGATGCTCACGGTTTTCCCCCCTCTCTCACCTAAGCTCATCGGTGGCCAGACCAGGTCCCTTGCCATCCAGTGCATCGCTGCCATTCTTCTTTCCCCAATCTCAAGGTGCTCCTCCACCGAGTGTTCCCTGCATCAGCCGCAACTCATCTCCATCTCGTCTCCCACTTTAATCGAGCTCCAAACCATGCCTGATTTGGCTGCAACTGAACCCCACCGGGTTCATGTAACTGAGCTTGCCGGCCAATGAAGAGTGAGCTATGAGTGCTAGATGCAGTAGCAGATGCTAGATGCTAGATGCAAGAGGAGAAGCTAGACAGCACAACAATCATCTTCTCTGGTGCTGTAGCAGGGGAGTGGGCTCTAGATCGTCAGGTTTGTCCCTAATCTAATCACAGCACTGCCTTAATCCAGCCAAGGAGGGTGGTATGTTTGCAAAACATTTCACAGGGAGTGCTATATAGGCAATTTGGCCTTTTTTTCTTTTTTGAAGTTAGAACTAAAAGTTGCTGAGCTATTGAGAACCATCAAAACTCAGATTGCAAAATTGAAGTTTTTCAGCTTCTTTTGTCCTGAAAATCAATCATCTCCTAATGAGTTATTAACTTGTTCTGTGTCTAGCAACAACTACATTTCTCACACAAACATCTACTTCAGAAAGAGGCGCTTGGAGTTCTTTCCTCTAATCGGGTAACATGAAAGTTACTTCCTCCAATCATAAATATATGTCCATCTAGGCTTGTCCTAGACTCCCAGTCCTAGTCAAACTCAACTTTGACGGTTTGACCACAAATACCTAAAATTTATTATATAGATTGAGAACACAAAATTAACACTAGTAGATTGATCTTTGTCGCGATATTACCATGTTTGACTAGGACAAACTTAGATGTGCTAATATTTGAGATTGGAGGAAGTAACACAAACATCTACATTTCTAGTTTTCTATTATCTCATCACACTGTTACTGCAAGAAGTACAGAATCCTCTTCATCCTTTATGACGAGTGAGGTTGACAACAACAAATGAATTTGAGTTTATAACGTATAGGAGAAAAAACAGCTCTAGTTTTATTTAGGGAAAACTGTGTTCTTGCCCTTGTCCAGTAGTCCAATTGTGATTTTGCCCCTGCTTTTTTAACTTTGTATTTTTACCCCTGCTATTTTGAAATGAATGGTCCGTTTGCCCCAGCTTTAGACGTCCGTCAGATGGACATGGATTAAACAAATTAAAAAAAATTATAAATCTGAAAAGCAAAGGCGAAATGACCGCACTGCCTTCTATCCTTATCGCCTCATCCCAAACAGAAGCACGGGTCGCCTCATCCCAAGTCTCGTACGCGGCTGCATCCGGCAGCAGCGGCGGCGGAAGAACCAGCGGGGCGGGGCTGCCTCCAGGGCGCGGGGCGCGGCTGCCTCCTGGCCACGGCGGCTGCATCGGCGGGGTGCGTGGCTTCCTCCAGGCGGCCGCGGGGAGGTCACGGCGCCCGCCCGCGGGTCTCGGCATGCGCGGAACGCATGGACGAGCAAGCCACCACCGCCTGCAGCTCGGCGCGCCGTAAGGGCCAAGGCCGGGGCGGCCGAGGCGCGGCCGTCGTCGCCGCCGGACGCCGTGACCTACAGCGCGAGCATCTCCACCGACACGCCCCTCCACGAATCCCCGGGGTAAGCCACCTACCGGCTACCACCTAATCTCTGCGAGTCGCGCATAGATGTGGATTGGGGCAAAATTGAAGCTGTCCGGACGGGCCATGCGCGTATGGCGCTGCAGTCTCTCCTTCGACGAGTACCTCCAGGACCGTCTGCGCGCGTTCCGCCATGTTCCCCGGCGAGAGCAGGAGCCAGTGGTCGGCGGCGTCGACGTAACCACCACCTCGCGCCCGCTCACTGCCGATTTCTCCAGCTCGCCCGCTAAACCAAACCGATAGATTTTGGGTTCTGCAGGGGAGTGGCGGGTCCAGATCTTTGCCACTGCAGTTCCTCCTCACCGTCGCGCCCCCATCGTCATCATGCGACTCTGACACAAGCCAGCCGGGCTCGACCTCCGAGTCGTGCGTATTGTTAGTCGTTGAACTCTCACTCTCGGTAGTAGTAGAATTCTTACTCTCATCGAGAGAGGATGACACTAGGAGTTGGGGCAATTTTACGGTTTATTTCTCACACAAACTCACACAAATGCCATGCCAACCCGAGGGGTTGGGGATACATATTATAAGTCGCTAGCCGACCAAGCATATGCCAAGATGCTAGTCTAAGATGCTAAGATGTCCTCTAGATGCTATCCTAGATGCTAATCCTAGATGCTAAGATGTCGTCCCTAGCTAGATCAAGGATGTCATCCTTGTGGCGAAGAATAACAACAACCAATGATCCCCACAATCCTTGTGGCGTGATGATGACAACAAATGTAGCGCACCCCACAAATAACTGCACCAACCAACACAACACACGAGACTTATCCATCATTCTCCCCTAAGTCTTGTGCGTCGTCTCGTGGGAAAGTTGAACCATCCGGTCCCGGAGCGAGCTCAAGGAACTTGATCCTCCCAAGAGGCTTGGTAAGCGTGTCCGCAAGTCGGTCCTTGGTGTTGATGTAGCTCGTCTTGATGCTCCGTCCTCTCAAATGCCTCGGATGAAGTGGTACCTCACCCGGATGTGCTTACTCCGTTAATGGAAGACGGGGTTCTTTGCTGAGGCAGAGCGGACTTGTCATCCACCACCGAGCTCCACCGCTCTAGTGTCTCTGCCGAGGAGATCACCAAGCGGTCGAGCGAGCCAGGCGCTGAAGTCGAAGCGGTGGAGGCCGCTATGTACTCGGCCTCGCACCGACAGGCCACCACCACCGCTTGACCGATCGCCAACTAATGAGGCACTTGCCGAGGAAGAAGAGGATCCCGCTTCGTACTCTTGTTTGGTGTCGATGTCGCCGGCGCGTGGTCATTGCCGTCATTGTGCAAGCGACGAAGTGTGCCGCCCAGGGCACCTAGGGTAGTAGAGGCCGTGGTCAAGAGTCCCCGCGAACGTGGCGGATGATCCTCTTCACACCCTCTTTGGTGCTCCGTTGTCGGTCATTGCATGAACCGACTAACGTAGCCGACGGAGAATGTCGTCCGTCCGCCGTGTCGGCGAGGTAGCGAAGGCTCCCCACAAGACGCTCGATCTGCGTGGCGCCCACCTCCTCCGCCGCGTGCTATCGCGGCTCGACCTTTCACTCTCTCTCCATCGGAGTGAGAGTCGGGTTGCGATCGGTGAGCCCAAATAGCTCAACGACGCGCTTAGGCGTGGCGGTGCAATCGAGCGTGATCCCGGAGTCATCCTGGTGCACCTCGATCCCCAGGTAGAAGGAGAGAGGTCCCAGGTCACTCATCTGGAAGGTGGCCTTCATCTCTTCCTTGAATGCCGCCACCTCCGCATCCTTGGTGTCGGTGATCACCAAGTCGTCGACGTAGACACCCACCAGCAGAGCATTTCCTCCACTGCCCCGTTGGTAGATGGCCGCCTCGTGCGGGCTTTGCTCGAAGCCCATCCCCTTTAGCGTGGAATCCAGCTTGGCATTCCACGCCCTCGGTGCCTGTCGCAAGCCATAGAGGGCCTTGCGCAGGCGGAGCACCTTGCCCTCCTTGCCGAGGATCGCAAATCCCGGCGGCTGGTGCACGTAGACCTCCTCCTTCAAGTCGTCGTTAAGGAATGGCGACTTGACGTCCATGTGATGAACACGCCAGCCCTCCTGGGCAGCTAGCGCAAGGAGGAGTCGCACGGACTCCATCCGTGCCACGGGAGCAAAGGCGTCGTCGAAGTCGACCCCCTCCTGCTGCACGAAGCCTCGTGCCACCAAGCGAGCCTTGTGCTTGACGATGGCACCGGCTTCATCCCTCTTCAGCTTGTACACCCACTTAAGGGTGATCGCGCGGTGACCACGAGGAAGGTCAGCAAGCTCCCAGGTGTGGTTCTTCTCAACTGCATCCATCTCCAACTGCATCGCGGCGCGCCATGCCGCGTGTCTCTTGGCCTCTCGCAAGAACGACCGAGGTTCGCCGTCGTCACACGCAAAAGGTGCAATCTAGCGCCTCCGTCATGAGGCACCGGTCCCGGCAAGACCGGTGGTCGCCGAGAAGGTTCTCCAACAGACGGTACCAAGAACGGCTCGCCGTCGTGTGTGCCAGCGTCGACGCTCTCCTCGTCGTGAGAGAGCGAAGAAGCGAGCTCAATCGGGCCGTGCTCGACACGGTAGGTGGTGGGGGGTAGACTTGCCGGAGTGGTGCTGCTCGGTCTTTGGAGTGCATGGCGTTGCGGCGGTACCGTGGTGGAGCCGCCCGAAGAACTCATCGCACCCGGAGGTCCCGTGGAGAGAGAGCGTTTGTCCGAATGGCGTAGCAGCGCCGGTCGGTGGAGGCTCGGGGGCGAGGTAGACGCTTTCGCCGAAGAAGAGCCGCCTACTCCCCCACTCCCTCGGCGTGGGCGTACTCGACGGTGAAGTCGTCGTGACGCCGGAGCCGAGCCGCCATCCACCGCTTTGTCCCACGCCCATCCATCGCGCCGTCGAACACAACGCGTCGCGCGCCGCGCGCACACGCCGTGTTTGGTCGAGGATGCGGTAGGCCTTCGAGCCTCCGCGTAGCCGA